AAAGGCGCGAAGCCGCCCTCGTCCGAATGGCCGCCCAAAAACAACAGATCGAGAGGTATTACAATAGAAGAGCCAACCTTCGACACTTTAATGTCGGGGACTTAATGTTGAGAAAGGTCACATTAAACACGAGGAACCCGAACGAAAGGAAGCTGGGGCCGAACTGGGAAGGTCCGTATCAAATTATCAAGATCATCGGAAATGGGTCGTACAAACTCGGAGCAATGAACGATGAGCGACTACCGAACAACTGGAATATAGCTCACTTGAAATGATATTACTGCTGAGGTACGACCCCATTTACTTCTTTCATTTATTTACATTTTGGACTAACACTTGCAGGTAATCGTCAAAGAACGATACAATATTTTAGGCCTGAAAGCATGCGTTGCACTCTTTTTTCCTTGAATCGGTTTTGTCCCAAATGGGTTTCCGGCTAGATTTTTAACGAGGCAACAGTGGATCGTGCTAACTTAGGATTGAAGATCGGTTGTCAACAGTTTCCAAGGCTTCTCTATGATCGACCTCGAACACTGGGGGGCAACACCCTCAGATAACGATTATGACAATGAAAGAAACTTTATGCTCGAATAGTCTAGGCTCGATCGATAGGATTAACTGTAAGGGCAAAACGGTCGAATGAATCGTGTCCACATAGACTGCCCGAGCCCGGACACAAATCTTGAACATATGTGTAACTTTGTATATTATGCACAAAATTGAAAGGAAGCTGTCACGCCCCATCCTCGGGAAGTGCGACAGGCGCTCAATCGAGTGAACCCGGTCGAGCAAGCCTGTTAGATACTTTCTACCCAATTAACCCATAATCAAGAAAAGACGTGATTACATTAATTATACAGTAGGAATCTCATTCATACAATCTTAAACCATTTCATTAGTCATTGCGCTTTTAAGTCCCAAAATACACATTTCTCAAAGTTCAAGTGGAACAAGGGATCAAACACAACATGACTTGTTTAACATTACCAACACCTATATACAACCCACATAGTGTCTACGGAGCCTCTAAAGATACAAAAGAGAGTAAAGATGGTGCCGGCATCAAGGCCCTGGCTATACCTCAAACGTAAAACCAATTCGGCACCACGAAACATTATTAACATAATTTTTTTCTTTTGCAAAATATTACGGGGCCTTACATTCTCCCCTACTTAGGATCATTCGTCCGCGAATGAGGGTAAAAATCTATTTTTAGCATCTTATGCAACTCAGTTTTCATACCACACACTAGTAGCCCTAAATTTGACTAACTCCCTAAATTTCCAAAAATTTCGCTAGAGTTTCATTTGAAACTACACCTATCCACCTGTGAGAGTGCCCCATAAACACATCTTACAAACATTTATAGAACCCAACGACATAGCATAAATCATAACCACACCAACTGTGGCCTCTTGTAAACAACATATAATCAAAAGGAGCATCTTTACATTAACTGAACAAGTGATACAAAATTCTTAGGCGACAGATTCGTAAAAGAAAGGATTACACAACTATTCAAGCAAGTGAGGATATTTCTTCTTCATCTCTTCCTCGGCCTCCCACTTGGCCTCTTCAACCTGCTGGTTTTGCCATAACACTTTCATGGATGCAATTTCTTTATTCCTTAACCTTCGGACTTGCCTATTAAGAATGGCAACTGGAATCGCATCATATGACAATTCTTCATTAACCTCAATGGCCTCAACCGGAACAATGAGTGACGGATCTCCAACTACTTTCTTCAACATAGACACATGGAGCACCGGGTGTACTAATGACATCTCAGGTGGTAGCTCAAGCTTTTACGTCACCTCACCGATCCTCTGAATGATTTTGTACGGCCCGACATACCTCGGACTCAATTTTCCTTTTTTCCCAAACCGCATAATACCCTTCATGGGGGAAATCTTCAAGAATACCCAATCATCTTCCTTGAACTCTAAGTCTCTGCGACGAACATCCGAATAGGATTTATGACGACTCTGAGCAGTTTTCAACCGCTCCTTTATGATCTTAACTTTTTCCATAGCCTGATGTACAAGGTCTGGCCCTATCAACTCTGCTTCCCCAATCTCGAACCACCCAATGAGATATCTACATCTCCTACCATATAATGCCTCAAACGGTGCCATCTGGATACTTGCATGAAAGCTGTTGTTATAAGCAAACTTTATGAGTGGCAAATGATCATCTCAGCTACCCTTGAAATCAAGAACACAAGCACGCAGCATGTGCTCAAGCGTCTGAATAATCCGCTCTACTTTCCCATCGGTCTGTGGATGGAAAACTGTACTAAGATTCACCTGAGTACCCAAACCTTGCTGAAATGTCCTCCAAAAATTGTCCGTGAACTGAGCCCTTCGATCGGAAATGATAGAAACTGGAGTGCCATGTAGCCTGACTATTTCCTTGATATATAAGTAAGCATATTGTTCCGCTGTGTCGGTAGATTTAACTGGCAAAAAGTGTGCTGATTTTGTGAGCCGGTCCACGATCACCCAAATTGAGACAAACTTGCGCGGAGTGCATGGTTATCCTACCACAAAATCCATATTAATCATTTCCCACTTCTACATTGGAATTTCTATGTTCTGTGCTAACCCACCAGGCCGTTGATGTTCGGCCTTCACTTGCTGACAGTTCGGACACCTTGCCACAAAGTCTGCCACATTCCTTTTCATGTCATTCCACCAATAGACTTCCTTGAGGTCGTGATACATCTTCGTAGAACCTGGATGCACAGAATACCTAGAAGCGTGAGCTTCGGTCATGATTCTTTCCTGGAGATCATCTACATTCGGAACACATAGTCGCCCTTGGTACCTTAGTGTACCATCATCCATGCTAAGACCAAAAGCCGTAGTCTTATGTTTTTGAATCCCCTCCTTCAATTGCACCAAAAATGGATCGCTGTATTGCTTATCTTTGACTTCCACAACAAGCGATGATTCGGCCCTATTTTGCACAATTACCCCTCCTTCATTAGAGTCCGTAAGACGAACTCCCAAACTAGCCAATTGATAGAATTCCTTGTCCAATGGCCTTTGATATACTTTTAAGTGTGCTAAACTACCCATAGATTTCCGGCTAAGAGCATCCACCACAACATTGTCCTTCCCCGGGTGATATAGAATATCGATGTCGTAATCCTTGAATAACTCAAGCCATCTTCTCTGCCTTAGATTCAGTTCCTTTTATTTGAAAATATATTGAAGACTCTTGTGGTTCGTGAATACATCCACATGGACCCCATACAAACAGTGACGCCAAAATTTCAATGCAATAACCATCGCCGCAAGTTCTAAGTCATGTGTTAGATAATTCTTTTCATGATTCTTGAGTTGCCTAGAAGCATATGATATAACTTTGCCATGTTGCATTAACACACACCCAAGCCCAATTCTTGAAGTATCACAATATACCACAAATTCCTCTGTACCCTCTAGCAAGGGCAACACCGGCGCTGTAGTCAATCTCGATTTCAACTCCTGGAAGCTCCTTTCACAGGCATCAGACCATTGGAACTTAACTTATTTCTGAGTCAATTTAGTCAACGGAGAGGCAAGAGTAGAGAACCCCTCCACAAACTTCCTATAATACCCTGCTAAGCCGAAGAAACTACGAATCTCGGTGGGTGTTATAGGTCTAGGCCAATTCTTTACTGCTGAAATCTGTTGAGGATAAACCTTAATTCCTTCTCTAAAGACAACATGACCCAAGAATGTGACAGATTCGAGTTAAAATTCACACTTTGAAAATTTTGCATACAATTGGTGCTGGTGAAGAATCTGCAACACTGCCCTGAGATCATCGGCATGGTCCTCCCGACCTCGTGAATACACAAGAATATCGTCAATGAACACTATAACAAAGGAGTCGAGGAAAGGCTTGAAAACCTGATTCATAAGATCCATGAAAGCTGCCGGGGCATTTGTTAGCCGAAAAGACATCACTAGAAATTCAAAATGCCTATACCGGGTTCTAAAAGCTATTTTCGTTATATCCTACTCCCTGATCTTCAATTGGTGATACCCGGATCGTAAATCAATTTTGAAGAAGTATTTAGCACCCTGTAACTGATCAAACAAATCATCTATTCTTGGTAGTGGGTATTTGTTTTTGATTGCGACTTTGTTGAGCTGCCGGTAGTCAATGCACATCCTTAGTGATCCATCTTTGTTCCTCACGAAGAGAACCGGTGCGCCCCATGGCGACACACTCGGTCGGATGAAACCCTTCTCTAATAAATCCTTCAACTGTTCCTTTAGTTCCTTCAATTCTACTGGTGCCATTATGTAGGGCAGAATAGATATAGGCTGCGTGCATGGCATCACATCAATCCCAAAATCAATCTCCCTGTCTGGCAGAATTCGAGGGAGCTCATCAGGAAAGACCTCCGGAAATTCTTTCACAACTAGCACTGACTCGAGTGTAGGTGCCTCAACAGTGGTGTCCGTAACTCGGACCAAATGGTAAATACACCCCTTGTTGATCATCTTTGTGGCCTTAAGGTAAGAAATAAACCTACCTTTTGGCACCACATTATCCCCCTTCCACTCAATAACAGGCTCATTAGGAAATTCAAACCTCACAGTTCTAGTTCGGTAGTCGAGCTTAGCAAAACATGAATAAAGCCAATCCATTCCCATAATTATATCAAAATCAACCATCCCCAATTCAATGAGATTGGCCACGGTGTCCCGATCGCGCACTGTGACAACACAACCCCTATAAACTCGTGCGGCCACAATAGGCTCAAGAAGCTATTCCGATTCTATCCCAAATTCCATAGCAACAAAAGGGGTAACATAGGATAAAGTGGAACCGGGATCAATAAGAGCATATACATCATGAGTTTGGACAGTCAATATACCTGTGACGACATCTGGAGAAGCCTCTGCACTCTAGCGACCACTCATAGCATAGAAACGACTGGGTCCTCCTGAACTCTGTGCACCACCCCTAGCTGTACCACGCCCTGCTGGTGCCGGAGGGCCTCAAGCTGGAGGGGGTGCTGAAGATGTAGCAGCTACAGAACTGGATGGCTGTGCTATGCCCCGGCCCGCACCCTGGCAGGATGAACGACACTCCTTCTGAATATGACCCCTAAATCCGCACCCATAACATATAGGTATGTCAAATCCTCGAGTGCATCTTCCCACACCTGGGGCATGAGGGCCTCCACTACTGCAGGAACCTCCCTCCTGATCGGCCATGATGGTGGGTCCCCTGCTGCCCCTGATTGGGCTTGAAGCGGCTCCCCTGCTGCTGACTGTGCCCCGCTGGCAGTGCACTGGCTGAAGACTGAGCATGAGATTGGGTTGGCCCTGATGACCCTCCCCTAAAAGCTGATCTTCCCCCACTAAATGACTCCTCAAAGTTGCCCGCGGACCGGGCCTTACTGGTACCCTCTTGCTCCCTCATGTTCTTTAACTTGCGGTCCTCTGTAGCTTGAGAAAATGCTACCATTTTCCCATAGTTCATGTCTGAATTCAAGACAGCTGTAGCGTCCTCATTGATAACCAAGGGGCTAAGGCCCTGCACAAACTGGCGCACTCTAGCCTCCATAGTAGGCAACATGAGAATGGCATATTTTGATGGGCGCGCGAACTCCATGTGATACTCTCACACACTTCTACTCCCTTGCTTAAGATTCTCAAACTCTACGGCACGGGCTGCCCTAGTCTCGGCAGGCAAGAAATGGTCCATAAAGGCATCCGCAAACTCACTCCATCTCGCTGGAGGGCTCCCCTCCTCCCGAGAGTCCTCCTACAGCTCAAACCACGAATATGCCACCCCTTTTAGGCAGTAGGCGGCCAACTCTACTCCCTCCGTCTCAGTAGCGTGCATAACCCGGAGAGTCTTATGCATCTCATCAATGAAGTCCTGTGATTCCTCCTCGGGATTAGCACCCATGAACACCGGAGGATCCAACTGCAGAAATCTGTTCACCCTTGAACTAGTAGAATCTCCTTGCTGGCTAGAGGATGTAGGTGCAAAATTCGACCTTTGGGCCTGAGAAGCCACTATCTGAGTCAACATCTGAATAGCTCCCCTAAGATCCCCATCAAAAATACCAGAGCCGGAAGCTGAGGCTAGAGGTGGAATCAGAATATCAGGTGGAGGAACCGTCGCACCTTCAGTAGGTGTAGGAACTGGTGTGGCCTGGGCTGGTATAGTGGAATCAGGTAGTGTAGCAGTCAGGGGATTATCTTCACCCCTCGGGTGTTCACCCGCTTCCTCAAATAAAGGGTCAACTGCCACTCCTAAGGCGGCGTTGGCTCCTTGGCCTATTCTTGCTCTCTTCTTAAGTGCCATATACTGAAAGTTAAAGGAATGCACGAGTTAGATGAGGAACAATTGCACAATTAGTTTCATCACACGATCCAGAATATCAAAGAAGGGGATTGTTCCTAAATGTCCAAGTAGCCTCCAACTTATAGATGTGGTCGACAACACACCGATAAGAAGGACTCTACTAGACACGGCTCCGAGACATCCTAGGACACTTTAAAACATTAGGCTCTGATACCAAGTTTTTCATGCCCCATCCTCGGGAAGCGCGACCGGCGCTCAATCGAGTGAACTCGGCTGAGCAAGCCTGTTAGATACTTTCTACCCAATTAACCCATGATCAAGAAAATACTTGATTACATTAATTATACAGTAAGAATCTCATTCATACAATCCTAAACCATTTCATTAGTCATTGCGCTTTTCAGTCCCAAAATACACATTTCTCAAAGTTCAAGTGGAACAAGGGATCAAACACAACATGACTTGTTTAACATTCCCAACACCCATATACAACCCACATAGTGTCTACAGAGCCTCTAAAGATACAAAAGAGAGTAAAGATGGTGCCGGCAACAAGGCCCCGGCTATACCTCAAAAATGACCATAATATAAACAAACGGTACAATACATGACCCCGGAATGAAATGGGGCTCACTAGTCCTAGGAGAAGAGGATGCAACACTATCTGAGATCACTGTCTGCTATGTAACCACCTGCCTCTATTTAAAGATGCAGCGCCCCCGGCAAAAGGGACGTTTGTACCGTCGAATAACACTAGTATGTATAGCTAAACACCAACTCAATAGAATGAATAATAATACAAGAGGAACAGTCAAGAATTCAATAAGGGCTTCAAATTATAGTAAAACAACAAGTCAAGGATCATATACATTTTCAAGACAGTTTCCATATTATTAGGTTGGGTGACCTTTAGCACCGATGTTCCAGAATGCACAATACCTCCTGCACAGTACACAGAGTCCGATCTCGGCCCGATCGGCAATGTTGCCTTATCTGATACATTACCATAATTTCATTATAATTTCCGGCACAGTACCACCATGTGTACAGCATGGCGTCCGATCACGACCCGATCGGCTAGGCTATCTCATTTGAGACATCAACCCTTTTCACAATTTCATCCACAATACCACCGTGTTCTTACACGGAGTTCGATCTCGGCCCGATCGGCTAGGCCATCTCATTTGAGACATTACCTTTTTTTAGTCAATCATCTCACATCGTACTTCTTTCATATACTTTCGATTTATTGGCACTAGTGATTACGATTACAAAGTCTTTCTTGGCACTTGGTCGTATTTCATAGTTCCAGACCCCTTTTTCCACATTCATTATAATTATCATTATCAACAACAATAAGGCTTCCCATTCAAGACACTAAATTGACATATGAGCAATTTGGGAATCTTAGGTACATAGAGGCTTTTCATCCAATTTGGCATAACAGCCTTTTATCTCCATCTTGACATGAAGTCTTAACAGTTCTAACACATATTCCATATTTTTGAACACATTCTCAAATAACAAGATAACATGATTAAGCCTTTAGAATAAATATTAAACTTACACCCTTCAACACAAACACATTAAAAATCGCCAATTCTATAATGATCAAGAGCTTACTCCAATTACATGAACACCGTGGGGTTCGATTCTAAGGAGAAGGGGGTTTAGCCAACATATCTCAATTGAGCTCCTTAAAACTCTAAGATGTTCTGGACTATTAGTAACTTCAGTCTATTTTAGCAATATAACAAAATTGAACCAAAATTAGGAAGATGAACATGGATTTAGCTCATTTGAGCATACTATCAAACACTAGGTGTGCACCAATGTTTAAGGCTCTTTTGTGGAAGATTCCATCATTTTCCAACCCACTCTCTACCATTATTAGCTCACAATCTTCCCACATACTACAAGGATACATGCATGCAAGGTAAGCACTTCCATCCCCATGAATTACCTTACTAATGGCCCATTCTAGTTACATTTTGAAATTAAGAGTTTGGGTGATAGAATCTTACCTCTTAGGAAGAAGACCTAGGTGCCTCTCTTGATAATCATCAAGATTTAAGTGAGAATTGAAGAACAATTTGATGAATATCACTTCTCCCTTTAGGACCCTCTTTCTCACTCTAAAAACATAAAAAAAAAATGCTCAAAATGGTCCATGGGGTGTGTTTTAACGAAATTGGATTGGGTTTAAAAGCCCCCAAAATGAAGGTCCGTAACAAGGTCTGCGATCGCATATGCAATTGCATAACCGATATGCGGACCAAATATCGGTCGCATAATCAGTGAGCAAAATAGCCAAAAAAAACTGTCCGTGTCTGCGGTCACTATGCGGCTCGCAGACCTATTCTGCGGTCGCATAATGAACCACAGAACAGTTATGCGGTCGCATAGTCAACCGAAAAATCTCATCCAAACTGGCCCAATAACGGCCTCACTCTGCGGCCATTATGCGGTCCGCAGAGTGATTTTGCGGTCGCATAATGAACCACAGAACAGTTATGCGGTCGCATAGTCAACCGAAAAATCTCATCCAAACTGGCCCAATAACGGCCTCACTCTGCGGCCATTATGCGGTCCGCAGAGTGATTTTGCGGTCGCATAATGGACCGCAAAAATGCGTAATTCTGCCAAATATTTTTCTTTACTTTTCGATGCATTGTTCAACCCAAAAAGTCCGAACCGTGGAGAGCAAGCTCGCTGCGAAGAATTTCTATAATACACAACACGTAAAACCAATTCGGCACCACGAAACATTTTTGACATTAATTTTTTTTTCTTTTGCAAAATTTTACGGGGCATTACAGAAGTTTCTACTTTGCGGATAAATATTTTGCCCTTTAAAAATTTTTGTTTCTTACATTTGATCCCCTAAAGACATCGAGCCCAAAGGCCACCTCACTCGGGGACTGTCGCCCAAGGCACATTCAGATAGCCCGAGATAAAGAAGCTCGGGGGCACAAAGCTTATTTGGCAGTGCCCGAACTTTAAAGGCTGCAGCCACCTCCATTCGGGAACGGTTATCTCGGTTAAGCCCGGATGACTCGGGGTAACAAGCCCACTAGGCAACACCCGAACTAGAAAGGCTACGGCCGTCTTAAAATGGCTTGGAGATGTCCGAGACCCGTAATTTCTTAACTGGTTAAAAAGGCTACCCTCGGCGGATTGTAATCTAACAAATTCGAAGTACTTTGGGGAAAACTTCTAGTCATACCGAGACCCCCACGAGTTTTAAATCGTAAGGAAAAAAGCGATATCTATATATATGAAAAGATCACAAGGAATTCGATATCTTTACAATCACAAGGAAAAAAGCAAAAGGAAACGAGCTTAAAAACTGTCGAAGGGAAAAAGAGCCTTATATNAACAAGATAATATCTACAAGGTACTTAGACGGCTTGATCTCTACCGGAGCCCGCCTCATCGCCGGGACCATCGGAGTTTTCTTCGCCCCCGGATCTGTCCGAACCATCGAAGTCTTCTTTGTCCTCGGGATACGCCAACTTCTTGGCCTCGGCTTTGAGCCCCTTAGCATTTTTGACGTCGGCTGACAAATCAAGACCCCGAGCATGAACTTTCTCGAGAGCCTCCCAACGAGACTGCCGCTTCACATACTCGACAATATCTTTCAGGCGATCCTGGGCTGCCTCAGCATCAGCTTTACACTGGGCCACCATCTCATCAGCATCTGCTTTGGTTACTTCAACCACTGACTTGGCCTCCTTGAGCTCCTTGGCAAGGGTCTTTCGATCAGAAATAATCGAGCTTAGCTGAGACTGTAGCTCCTCAATATTTTAGGATCGTGGCTCAGCCTTCTCCCTCGTCGCTCAAAGCTGGACCTCCGCCGAGGTCAACTGCGCCCGAGTAGTCTCCTTTTTTGAGGCCAGGCGGTCCATCCTACCTCTCCACTCTTCGGCCTTGACCTTGACTGCATCCATCTCGGCTCGAAGTTGGTCGATCCGATAAATCTTCTGTTGAACCTGCAGGTTCCGACCAATGGATACCGTGTATAGCTCATCGTCACTAACTTTAAAATTTTTTACCTGTTCAACTAGGTCGGCATGTTCTTTCCGAGCCGCTTCCAACTCATCTCGAAGGCTCTTAGCCTCTCCTTCACGCTGCTCGCTGAGAAGTTTGTATGTGTCTCTCTTCTCAGTAAGCTCTCTGACTTCGGCTTTGAGTTGGTTCAGCTCATCTCGGTACCGAAGGAAAGTTTAATGGTGAAGCACCGAGGCCTACAAATACGAAGACAAATAATAGGATTATCAATGAATTAATTCAAGTATAAAAGGAAAAATGGAAATAATCGAGAGTTATCTAAAGTTACTCGGTGTAGCGCCTGTTATGCTTCATTGAACAGGCAGGGCATATCAACCTAGTTCATTTTGGCCTAGTCTTCTTCGGTCACCGGGCACCAGAGGTAACTGGCTACCCCTATGGGGGCGGAAAGAACTCAGGCATCCTCCAGAACGGTAATGACAATGGACCGCTTCCGATCAGGATCCACACTCGTGGCAGGGAACCTGTTGACCAATTTTGAGCTCGAGTTAGGCCTGCATGCCCCCGAGGTCGGACTCTACCTCGGTACCTCTATGTCACCCAATCCGGTGATGTCTTCCGTAGCAGTGGAATCCACGCCATCAAAAAAGCAGCGGAGGGGGTCATCCGCTCCGTGGGCCCCCTTGTTAGGGCGCTCTTTCACCGTTTAGGCCTCGTTGTACATGGACTCAGTAAACGAGGGTGACTCGGTGATGTCTATCACACCAAGTGCCTCCTTCGGGGCACTGCCCGCATCTCGGGAAGCCTCGGCCCCAATCTCCTCATCGACCTCCCTGCCTTGAGGCAAATCTGCCTCACGGATCTCTGGTTCGGAGGCCCCCTTACTTTTCAATCTGCGATGGCTCGCTGGACACTAAAACAAAAGGTTCTTCTTCTTCGAATTCGTCCTTCAGCCGATAGAGTGAATATGAAGCTGGTGCTTGGGCACT